TTTTTTGATGTGCAATTCTTTGTGTTGATTATAGATGCTTCCCATTTATTCAAATGACTGTTCTAAGGCAAATGCCTTTTTACTTTTTACCTACATTTACAAAAAATTTCATTTGTCCATATTCAAAAGCTGCATTATGCAAGAATTTCACTGTATAAGAATTCCTTTTAGACACTTGTGGTTATAAAAAAATTAACATTCCCAAAACATAGGTAGAACATGTTCTTTTTGACATGTTCAGCCATTTTAAAAAATATGGTTTGAACATGATTTGACTATGACCATTTCCGCAGGGGAGGCAGTTGACCAGTGAGTCCACACTGGTAGCACCTTTGCTCAAACTAAACTAGAGCATTATTTGTGAGTTACTTATGTGTCAAATATGCAAAGGTTAGCCCACATCATGGTATTTTGGGACCTTAGTTTATTTAGTCATAAAATTGCAAATTTTAGCCCTAAAATTTCTATTATGTACCCTAAAATTCCTAATTTTAGCCCTAAAATTTCTGAAATATTACCCTAAAATTCGCCCTAATTTTATGTCGGAAGGTGCTGGACAGCCTGCTAATGGTTTCCTTCACTTATACGGTAGACATTTTATTGTAGAAACAGCATGTGTAAAAGTAAGAATAATTAACATTTTTATAAGCATTGGTAAGTTTAACAATTCAAGTTGAAAACTCCTATTTTTTTGCCTCAAAATGGTCCAAAAACTCCTATATTTCCTGCTAAAATATTCCTATATTCCTCCTATAATTTGGATAAGACCTGGTTGACAGCCTGTATATTATATCAATGGAAAGCAGCTGAGTGTGGTAATTGTCATACTATGATCATCAATTTGTATTTCAACACTGTGCTAATTATGATATTTAAAATTGCAGGAAAAAATAAAAAGAACTTTACAAAAAAACAAGGATGTGTTTGGTAAACACAATTTTTTGTGTGTGTGTGTGAGATTATTGATATTATACCATAGTCAAAACAAAAAATCAATAAACTTAAGGGACAATTCTAAAAATATTCGATAAGTCATTAAATGTTTGTGCTGATGTTTTGTTGTTGTTGTTTTTTTTGACACAAGTTGAAAATTGCAAAATTTTACTATGTCAAGGGCAATAACTCTAACAATGCTAAAAATATCCAGGTGCACAACTACACATTCTGATCAACATTCCTGTAAAGTTTCATGACTCTAGGTCAAATACTTTTTGAGTTACGTGCAACACAAGTTGAAAATTGCAAAATTTTACTAAGTCAAGGGCGATAACTCTAAAAATACTAAAAATATCCAGACGAAAATATCCAGGTGCACAACTACACATGCTGATCAACATTCCTGTACAGTTTCATGACTCTAGGTCAAATACTTTTTGAGTTTAATATGTGCGACACAAAAGAGAAAGGACAAACGAACGGACGGACGGACAGACAAGGGTAAATCTAAATGCCCGCCACTAAAGTGGGGGCACAAAAACTCTAATAATGAAAAACTTTAAATTTAAAACAGTTGTAGTGGCATATCTGCCATAATAAACATATCTGCCATAATAAACTACTCAAACTTGTGTACTTATATACATGTTAAGAAGTATATTTTTGTGCAGAACCAATTATTTCTACAATGACAACTGTTATAATCTTTCTTTTTTAATAAGTGCAGTTCACTTGCTCAAAAAACCGACGTATAACAACTAAGCTCCCATTGGGACTCTGAACATACACCATATCTTAAAGAAGGCTTAAACACAAGTCCTGTGTATGATAAATTCCTGAACATCATTGATGATCATAACCTCGTACAAATGGTCAATGAAAGTACACGAAATGACAATATTCTTGATCTATTGCTCATTTCAAACCACACTCTTGTTAACAATGTCAAGGTCATACCTGGCATATCAGATCATGACATCATATCCACAGAAATATCTTCTAGGCCTACCCTCCTCAAACAAAAACCTCGTACTTGCACCTTGTATAAAAAGGCAAATTGGACTGAGTTGAAAACCTTCATTAAAACCTCAACATCTGAAATACTTCAAAAAGCTGAATCTTTGTCTGTTGAAGAACTTTGGTCGCAGTTCAAACACACACTTGAGGATGGCATATCAAAATTCATACCCACTAAAAGAATTACAGCTAAACCATCTTTGCCCTGGATAACAAAATCCATTAAAAAATTAATTCATAAAAGAGATCAGCTCTATAAAAATATTAAAAAACCAAAAACAAATAAAAATAAATCTGATCATGATCAATGGCTAAAATTTAAAAATTTGAAATCGCAAATAAAAGCTAGAATTAAACAATCATATGAAGCTTACTTAGAAAACATCCTGAACCTTGCAGATGATGATGATGAAACTAATACACAAAGTAAAGTTTGTACCAAAAAACTATACTCACTTATAAAAAACTCTAAACAAGATTCACAAAGTGTGTCTCCATTAAAAGATCAAAAGTCAGGTTCTCTCAAAATTAATAGATCAAAAGTCAGGTTCTCTCAAAATTAATAACACTGAAAAAGCAAACATTCTTAACAAACAATTTCAATCAGTTTTCTCACCAATTATACCACTCACACTTAAAGATCAATGTATACAAAAACTGAGACTCATGGATCCCAGAAAGTATTGTCAGTACCCACAAATGAATGACATCATCATCGGTAGGGCAGGTGTACTAAAGCTCCTCGCCAACCTCAATGCCAACAAAGCTGCCGGCCCTGACAACATTAGACCAATTGTCCTGAAGGAGCTGAGAGAAGAGATTGCTGACATCGTTGCAGTTCTTTTCCAAAAATCCCTGACCACCGGTAATATTCCCAATGACTGGACCCGTGCAAACGTATGCCCTGTCTACAAAAAAGGTGATACAAGTGATCCAGCAAACTATCGCCCAATTTCCCTTACATGCAGTCTCTGTAAAACACTCGAACATATAGTTGCCTCTCAACTATCCTCTCACTTTACCACCCACAACATACTCTTTGATCTTCAGCATGGATTCAGAGAAAGACGATCATGTGAGACACAACTCATTGAACTTACTGATTACTTTGTGAACAACCTTTCAAATGGCAAACAAACAGATCTCATACTTCTTGACTTCTCCAAAGCTTTCGATAAAGTAAACCATCTTAAACTCTTAGATACCCTGCAAGAACATGGTGTTTGTCCTCAAATTCTAAACTGGATACAGTCATTCCTTATTGGCCGTAGACAGACAGTAGCTGTGGATAGTGACTGCTCATCTGAAGTCCCAGTTACCTCTGGAGTGCCCCAAGGCTCGGTCCTAGGGCCCTCTGTTTCCTTCTATATATCAACAAGTTACCATCTTCTGTCCTCAAATCCCAAGTCAGATTATTTGCAGACGACACTGCTGTATACCTAACCATCAATTCCTCCTCAGACCCCCCAACTCTCCAACATGATCTAGACAATATGGTTCTGTGGGAGAAGCAGTGGGACATGGAGTTTAACCCTTCAAAATGCCAAGTCATCCATATCACCAAAAATAAGACCATAATTAAACACAAATATATGCTCCATGGCCAAATCCTAGAGTCTGTTACAAATGCTAAATATCTCGGACTAGATCTATCTGCTGACCTTAAATTTAATACACATATATCTCGAATAACTTCCAATGCAAACAGATCCCTTGGCTTTATTAAAAGAAATGTCATCACTGAAATGAGAAAGTAAAAGAACTAGCATACAAGTCCCTGGTCCGCCCACAGGTTGAATATGCCTCATCTATTTGGTCTCCTTATACTAAAACCAATATTGACAAAGTTGAGATGATCCAGAGACGCGCAATAAGATGGGTTAAAAGGGATTACTCCCCTCACTCTAGTGTCACAGCCATGCAGGAAGAACTGGGCTGGCGATCCCTTGAACATCGCAGACTGGACTGTAGACTGATAATGTTTTATAAGATATACCATAACCTAGTTGCAATTAATCTCCCAACTTATGTTCAAACCCCACATAGATTAACCAGACATATGCATCCCTTATCCCTACGTCAAATACAGGTATCCTCTGACTACCATAAGTACTCTTTCTTCCCTCATAGCATTATACTATGGAATAAACTTCCTAGTAACATTGCCACCCTGCCCAACCTGAGTCAGTTCAAACAGGCAGTGGTGGGTTTGCAGTACTAGTCTTACTCCCAGTGTTTTTAAACTATTTTATCTCTTATCATCTTGTTTCACTATTAACATTTTAACCATGACTAGAATACATTTTCAGTCTCACCTTCCAAGCATGTCAATGTTTGGACTTTTCTTTTTAGCTTTTCTCTTCACCTTTTACTAACAATCCGACGTGCACTAAATTCCTGCCTTTAACACTCGTAAGAGGGGTTGGCAGTATCCAGAGATAGATAGATAGATAAAAAAATCTTATTGTTTAAATTAAAAAAATTCAGGACGCTAAATTCTTAAGGGCGCTTTTTAGTGATACCGGGATTTTTAAATGTTCCTAGTTCGGATTTAGTGATAATTACTACTACCTAAAATTAGCTTGTGCATTTTCATTAACTACCTAAAATGGAAAGTGACTAGCTAAAATTAAGAACATAACTATTTGGTGTTGTTCGTGACTAAAAGCAGGGTCTTTCAAATGGATTTTTTTTTTCATTTTATTTGAAAGACCCTGCTATATGATGGTTGAACCTTGAGGGAAACTTTTTTGTGGTGTTGCAGGATTGACAATTTCCAACTTATTACTAAAATTTTGAATATGTAATGAAGCACAGACAAAACCAACACCAACAAATTTATTAGCAGATTTGACTGGCAGCAATATTTTGTTACAACAATAGAGCTTGCGAAAAAATGGCCGAATTATTTTGGGGTCGATTTGGTTGGGGTCGAAACGTCCTGTTTCCACTAAAAGAGAGACCCCACTAAAATTAAGAAAATTCTCAGCGCTAATTTTCCTTCTTTTTATTTGTAAAAAAATGCTTAAATTTCCAATAAGAGTACTCTACCTTAAGATGGCGTTGACAGTTTGACTTTAAATACAAATTATTTTTAAAATTTATTTTTGTTTACACCGGAAGTTTACTGCTAGGTCCTACTAAATCCCGTTAGGCGTGTCGATACGGAGTGTAGACGAGAATTATACATAGTTTTGGCAGCGTTCGTCTGTGTGCATATAAAAAGAATAAAAGTTATAATATGTCACAAGTACGAGAAGTTATAGAACTTTTAACAAAAGTTTGTGAAGACAACGGCACAGTGCCGATAAAAGCTGAATGTTTTAGAGCAGCAAAGTTTGATAAATGTGAAACGGTAATCCAAATTTATCAAAAAATTATGATCGAGTCACTATGAATTTATGTAAATTATTAGAGTTTATTTATTGGTCAATCCATTGACTGTTACAATTTTTCTTAGTTTCTTTTACATGAAATGAAAGATGGTCATATCAGTTGCTAGAAAGACCAGTAATAGTACAAATTAAAAGAAAATGTTAGAAATTGGAGTGGTTTCCACTTGCTGACAGACAAAATTTGACAAATTTAAACTGTATGATAGTCATAGAGAAAAAGTAAGAGAAAAGCAGCAGGGGATAATCCGCAAGGTTAGTGCTGCTCTTGGTGGTTATCACCAGAGTCTGGGAGAGATACCGGCTAAATGGTACACCCGCCATGCAGGAGGCATGCTGGTGGTTGGCAAAAGGTCACAACATCAGCTCGGGATCAGTTTTTGGGCGTTCAGGCATGTCATACAAGGTTTTCTACAGCAACTTCACTTTGAAATGACCTTGCTTATGCTGGTGGTTCTGCAGACCATAAGTAGAAGGTTGCATGAAGGTAATTTGCGGTCGAGAAGACCTTGCATACGTATCCCCTTGATCATCAACATCACCAGGCCCTTTTGGAATGGACCATGTAGCATAAACAGTGAACCATGCAAAAATGGAGACACATTCTGTTCACTGATGAGTTCAGGTTCTGCTTAGAGTTCACATATAGCCTTTTATAGGCATGCTAGAGTCTGGAGAAGACAAGGTTAGCGGTTTCAGGCTGCAAATATTGCTGAGCGTGACAGCTACGGAGGTAGGTCAGTTATCATGTGGGAAGGCATCAGCTGGGATGGACTAAAGGACCTGGTTTTGCTAGATAAAGGAACATTGACAGGTCAGTGATACATAGACGACATCTTAGACAACCATGTTAGGTTGTATGCTTGAGCAGTTGGCGATCAGTTCATTCTAATGGACGATAATGCTCCTCCCCATAGGGCCAGGGTGGTCCAGGACTACCAAGAGAGGGAGTCTATTGAGTGCATGGACTGGCCAGCTCACTCACCTAACTTAAATCCAATAGAACACATGTGGAATGAGCTGCAAGTTAGAATTTCAGCTCGTCAGCTGCAACCCAGAACCATCCAGGAGCTAAGAGCCATGTTGGTCCAAAAATGGGCAGCAATACCCGTTAGACTGATCAGAAACCTAATAGGAAGTATGAGAAGGCACTGCCAAGCTGTCATTGAGAGTTATGGGTCACACACATGGTATTAAGTCTAAAACTGTAAACAAAAAATCCAATTTAACAAATTTGGAAAACACACTGCATGTTCTGAAATCTTCAAAGAGGGGGATCATCCACTTCTCTAGCACAAAATCAGTGTAAAACTCATTTTATAAGGTTAAATTCATCCTTCAGCTGAATTGATAAAGCTGTAAATCAACATTTAAAACCTTTTGCACGGCATTTATAAATAAATTCCCAAAAAATATTCACACTCAAACATATGGTGCTTTAGCTAAGCAAAAGTTGAGTAGTATATGTATTTACTGTGCTTCAGTCTCTTTCATGTCTGTTTTTTTGTGATTGCTTTCTTATTTATTACTTTTAAAACTTTTGAACTTACTTAGATATATCTTTTGGAAATAGTAATTAAATTTCTTGAATGTTTAACACTTAAATAGTATTGTTTTGTTTTTTAATGATAATAACCACCTGCCCTAATTTCCATGTCTTTTTGCCAGTTACACAATAGCTTTCATATGATCTATATAAATAAAGATTGCTGAATCCACAAGTAGTTGAAAATCTGTTGCCTTGAAAAAATTGTAAATTCCTGATAAATAAAAAATTGATTCTTTGATGGAAAAAATCCCTATTGCATGATAATACAACTTGATAAGTTACAATAATCTTAACTTTATGAAATTTAATGCTTTTGTTATGTTTATTATCATATTAAAATTGTCTGCATTCAATCTTTCAGACTTCATCTTTATGGAGGCTTCTGTTTGAATTGACATATATTTTGAAGTATGGACAGTTAGAAGACTTTATTAAAGATTTTATTGATCAACTCAAGAAAGGTAATATTTGTCTTGTTCAAAGCTTGACTATACATAGTATCTACTCTGACATCAGCATCAATGTCCTTGTCCAGATTTCAGGTTAAAGTTTTTTACTATAATTTTGTATTTCTTAATGGATCTACTTCAGGCTTCGAATATCTATCTTTTTATCACCAACATACGATGTGATAAGGCTCATAACACAAGCACACATATTTCCAGACCTCCTTGAACTTATATTTTTTCTTTAAAAATTGTTTTTTGTTTTTCAGATTAGATTTTAAAAAAAACAACAACAACATTTTGTATCATCTGTAGAAAATCTTTATTAATTGCCACATAAATTTCATTCTTTGTTAGATTTTAACATTCATGTTGAATAATAGAGAGAAATTAACTCTTTTAATCTTAACAAAGAAATTTTAGCATTCATTTGGCAATTAAAGCTTGAAAAATCATTCAAAATGACTATGTATGTCACATAAACTCTGGATCTTTTTAAAATGACAGTTTGTGTATTGGTGTTTCGGTATTAAACATTAAAATTCAATTTAGATAATAATTATTATCCTAACATAAGAAAAAATCAGGAAAGATTAATTCCCTCTGAATACATGTGTGATTTGTCAGCCATGAAATTTAAGTTAAAAAAAAGAAATCATTTGTAAAGTGCAAAATTATTATGAATTCTATATTACAAGAGAAACAATAAAAGTGGAACAAACAATCAACACAGGATAAGTTTTAAGGTTTATTTAATGATGCTAACCGACGTTTCGACTCTTACGAGTCTTCATCAGGGTTATAAAAAAAAAAATTCTATATTGTCACTATACATGTAGGTGCCAAAATCAGAATATTTCCCATTCAGACAAATGGTTCTTTTTCTTTTCTTCTTCCTGATTAGTATTTTATACAGGCATTATGTCTGTGTTTTATGTGTTTTAATTTGTTGGTGTTTTTTTTAAGTTATTTGGGGTTACTTAGATTAACTACTTTACCAGTTCCTTACAATACTGTCAGTGTCATATTGCTTGTAAGACAACAATCAAAATTTTGAAAAGTAGCCACTATTTACTGAAGTTTACCATGAGAAATTAGTCATTACAAATAAAAACGTTTACTCTTAAATGTTTAAACATTGTTTATTTTCACAGATGATATGGTAATATACACAAAATGTTTTATGCAAGACCAAGGATACTTTAGTAAAGAGTTTTCTACTTTACCAAATGATATGAGTTCTGGCAGTAGGGAAGTTTTACTTGCAATTGGTTGGCTATTATCATCAAAAAAAGTCATAGAAAAGTTTGTAGATCTGCAGTCTTCACCACTTGATCAAGAATATCCTACACAAGAGTCGGTTAGTAGCTTTATATGTTAATATTGCTATGTTCATTTGAAAATTGATGAGCTAGTGGAATGAGCTTTAAAAAAAATGTGTTTTGTTTATCCCTGAGAAATTTTATTTTTATAATAGATTTAAGTTTTGTTTCTGTTTATTTTTGAAATGCTATGTTTAATTGCTATGTACATTTCAAAAAAGGATGAACTTACTAGTGGAATGAGCTTTAAATAACAGCTGTTATTTACCAGAGAAATTTTATTCTAATAATAGATTGAAGTTTTGTTTCAATTAATTATGGAAATGATTTGTTTAGCAAATATTGCTATGTACATTTAAAAATTTATGACAAAAAATATAATAGGAAAAAATCTCTAAATGAATTTATTCTTAAACAATCAAGACATTTCTGATGTAAATTTGTGGTAAACTGTCTTATACATTATGCTATCTTGCAGTGTGGATACAAAAACTTTATTTTTTTGTTTATTTGAATAGTATTATACCTATTTTAAGTATTGATCACCCTAGTTACAGATAGTGACAGAACAAAAGTTACATCATAGTGGTGAACTTCCAGCAGCACAGAAAGCTCAACAACTTCAGTTCCTAAATGGTCGTCTGTCTCTCAGTCTGAAAACATTATATTCTCTGTACCATGAGGAAACCAGGCTACTACACAAGGTATTATAATGCTGTTTTCTATTTACATATTCTGTATAACGATGACAACATCACCACAAAATTATAAAAGTAACCTAACATAATTATGATAAAAACATGCTCCCATAGTGATTTGGTTTATATACAGAATTTATTTTACTTTGATTGTGTATCCGTTCCTGGAACCAACCAGTACTGAGCAATGGGTGTAAAGTTTCTTGCTCAAGGAAACAACGACTTGCCCCTGACGGGGTTTGAACCCATGCGGCTAGCGATCGTGAGATTACTAGTCCGACGCTTCAACCACTCGGCCATGCCGCCACAAGTGATTTAAATGACCTTGGAAGAAATTCTATTAAGATATATTCATATTTATGATGTCGTTTTTATTTTGAACTTCTGGTCTTACTTTATTAGTATATTTAAAAGTCACATACTGGTGTGAAGAAAGACTTCAGAATTTTGTGTTTGTTATCTTGATATTTATTATTTATTTAACTTTCTTCCTTCTTAAGTTGGATATAAAATAATCAGGAAAAGTATTTTTGTAGTGAATTGCAATCATGAAATATGTGTTCAGTAGTACTTCTGTAGGGATTTATCCAGGATTAGTAACAGAATGCAGAGAAAGACATTTAAATGTGTCCATTTGTCAAGGCTATATTAAAATGGTAACCTGGACTATGCATATTTGTGTTAGAAGTGCAACAGAACAAGTGAAATATTGACCATTTCATTACCTATCAATATTTTATATAGAACCATGTCAAACATATGATTGGTAATAACTGCAGGCAAGAAAACTTGAATAGAGGAACCTTTTAAACTGTATCCTCAAACCAATAAAGATTATCAAATACTTGGTAATATCTACACATTTATTTAAGAGAACTAACATTAGGACAAAACTGTGGTAAAAGCAACCATTTGTTTAGAGATACTAACTGACTCATTTATATATATACATGAAGTACGGCTTTTATAAGTTAATGAAAAGGAATGAGATTTTGTATGAAATTTTCACAATGTTATTAACAGGTACATGAAAGCACTCTTGGAGTTGGTACATCAACACATTCACCTCATCTCTCTATGATGGAAGTATACCTTCTGAGACATCCTGAACACAGCTGAAGAAGGTTAGATTTACTATAAGGACTATTTTGTTATTTATAGTCTTCCTTTTACCTTCACTATTTAAAGAATAGTGCTGAAGTTCATTTACAAATTTCAGCAGGTTTAAGCTTGATTTTTCTTTATTTTTTTTTACCACAGTGATACTGATAACTTTTTGGAGTTAGCTTGTTTTAATGCTATGAGCGTTATTCTGCAAAATCATTATTTTATGATGGGGCACTTAATTTTCATGGGTTTTGTGTAAAGGTCAGTATCCAGTAAAATTTCATTTTGTCTACTGTAAGATTATTTAGAACTACATTAGACTCTATTAGCTGTTCACTTTTGAAGAAGAAAAAAATACTATTTACAAATTTAAGAACCCACAAAAACGTCCTTTTCATGACCAGGAAATTAAATTAGTTCACATTAGCATACAAAGTACATCTTTTTAATTTTAATTGATTTATGCTATTTTATAATTAGTGAAGATACGTTTTTGTATTTAGTGTATAAAGCAACTAGAGAAGGACAATAGAAGATTAGAAAGGTTATTGCAATGGAAGGAACATGAACATGTGTTTTGGAAATGGATGGTAAGCTATTGTGTGTTTGTATTGTATGGTTAAAATTTAAACCCTAATTTTGTAGTTTTAGGCTCACATTAATGAGTAACATGTTTAATTATAAATATAGACTGATAATGATGTTTTATCTATAGCTTAATGACTAATAATATTTGAAATGGAAGTATTACTATAGGTCAGTGTGGATCTTTTGAAATAATCTAAATTTAATTTATCTAAAATATTCCGGTATTTGTTTGTAGGAGTAGGAATATATTTATGATATCTGGTTACTTATATATTTATGATATCTGGTTACTTTCATTCTTCTGTTTAATGATAATATAGTGTTTTGATATTGTAGTCTCATGTCTGTGTCAACTGATAGGCCCAAATGAAAGCCAGTTGAATCTATGATACCTGCATAAAGTTGTCAGGGTTAATGTTTACAACTCCATAAGTATTTTTTTCTTTCTTTATTACCACATATGCTCAACCCTTTACCATACACAGGAGAGTGTTCTTCAGTTGAAAATGGAAGAAGTTTCACATCATGAGGATCAGGGCAGAGATCAAAGAATGGTACATTATAATATACCTGGAGATTTACTATCATCAGTCAGCATGTCCCGTCGCAATCTCGAATCAAACATCATGAAGTTTGAGCCTATTATCACACAACTTGAAGAAATCTGGGAAACAAAGGTAAATGTGACAAAATATGGTAAAGAAGATCAACAAGGAAAGGAATATGAATATGAACATTTTTCTTGTAAACATATTTAAGTCACACATACAATTGTCAGTTATTTATGATTGTCCTGTTATTTCCTGTATATTTGAAAATACTTCTTATAATACTGGCATTATTCAATTTGGTTTGCTTTAACTCAACTTGGTCTAGCTGAATTTGTCTAAATAGAGGTGCTCCACTGAGGTACAAAAATTTAATTTTGTAATTCTCACATCATCTAGCTGGAGCACTTAAAATGAAAAAAAATATGCAAAACGTAATTAGAAGTACACTCCAGATTAATTTAAAATCTTTTGGTTACAACTAAATATACCCATGTGACCAATGCAGACCAAGATAAGGTGTCTGTGCAATCTGACCATGGTCTGCACTGTTCACTATTCAGTCTGTAGTCATTTTGAAAATTTACCTAAACATTTACAGTGAATGTTTTTGTCCAGATTAAAAGATTGACACGTCAGTATAAGATATTTAGTGTGGTAAGGGTTAAGCTGGAAAACTTAATTTTCTTCTCCCTGTAAAGCAGTGATCAGTGCATTGTTATCATATTATGTGTAGTAAAATATTTAGTCCTTTTTAGCTCGACTATTCGATAAGAATAAGTAGAGCTATTGCAGTCACCCGAGCGTCGGCGTCGGCGTAACCACTTATGTTAAAGTTTTTGTAATAGTTCAAATATTTTCAAAGTCCATAGACATATGGCTTTGAAACTTTGCACACTTGTTCACCATCATGACCCCAACCTGTAGACAGGAGGAGGTAACTCTATCAAGCATTTTGACAGAATTATGCCCCTTTTTCTACTTAGAATTTACGTTAAAGTTTTTGTAATAGTTCAAATATTTTCAAAGTCCATTGACATATGGCTTTGAAACTTTGCACACTTGTTCACCATCATGACCCCAACCTGTAGACAAGAGGAGGTAACTGTATCAAGCATTTTGACAGAATTATGTCCCTTTTTCGACTTAGAATTTACGTTAAAGTTTTTGTAATAGTTCAAATATTTTCAAAGTCCATTGACATATGGCTTTGAAACTTTGCACACTTGTTCAACATCATGACCCCAACCTGTAGACAGGAGGAGGTAACTCTATCAAGCATTTTGACAGAATTATGCCCCTTTTTCGACTTAGAATTTACGTTAAAGTTTTTGTAATAGTTCAAATATTTTCAAAGTCCATTGACATATGGCTTTGAAACTTTGCACACTTGTTCACCATCATGACCCCAACCTGTAAACAGGAGGAGGTAACTGTATCAAGCATTTTGACAGAATTATGCCCCTTTTTCGACTTAGAATTTACGTTAAAGTTTTTGTAATAGTTCAAATATTTTCAAAGTCCATTGACATATGGCTTTGAAACTTTGCACACTTGTTCACCATCATGACCCCAACCTGTAAACAGGAGGAGGTAACTGTATCAAGCATTTTTTTTACTATCAAGCACTAAGAATAGTCGAGCGTTGCTGTCCTACCGACAGCTCTTGTTATTTCTTCTGAAAAATGACAAAAAATATGGTAACAATTATGTAAAGATTTTCATCTTTCAGTGTAGGGGAATTGAAGCAAGGTAGATTGTGATTATTTAATGTTTCCAGCCTACATATTTATAATTTTTAGCTCGACTATTCAATAAGAATAAGTAGAGCTATTGTTGTTAGCCGAGCGTCTGCGTCGGCGTAACCACTTATGTTAAAGTTTTTGTAATACCACAAATATTTTCAAAGTCCATTGACATATGGCTTTGAAACTTTGCACACTTGTTCACCATCATGACCCCAACCTGTAGACAAGAGGAGGTAACTATATCAAGCATTTTGACAGAATTATGCCCCCTTTTCGACTTAGAATTTACGTTAAAGTTTTTGTAATACCTCAAATATTTTCAAAGTCCATTGACATATGGCTTTGAAACTTTGCACACTTGTTCACCATCATGACCCCAACCTATAGACAGGAGGAGGTAACTGTATCAAGCATTTTGACAGAATTGTACCCCTTTTCTGACTTAGAATTTACGTTAAAGTTTGCATACCACCTCAGATATTTTCATATACTATTGACATCTGGCTTTGAAACAAGTTGAAATTTTATACTCTTCTTTTAGAGCATAATAGGACTCTCTTCAAGGCCTTTAACAGTAACATGGATTTAAAGGAAAATATGGCCCTTTTGTTAACTTAGAAAATTTTACATTATCAAGGCTCTTTTACTTTCAAGCACTAAGAATAGTCGAGCGTTGCTGTCCTACCGACAGCTCTTGTTACTTTGAGATAAATACATGTATTGGTTATAATCATTTGACTTATTGTTTTGAAATAAAAAAAAGAGGGTTTATCATAATGATTATTATTTAAATGATATATCTGTCTCAGATGAAATATTTTTAGACTGACACTGTTTATTTTGATAATTTTAATTGAACTGTTGTAACATTTATTGAATGCATAAAATATATTTAAATGAAGTTGAATAAGGTAATATTATCAAGGTATATTTTTCAGCAACATGATATAACCATTGGCCAAAAACAGAGAATAGAAGCTGCAGTGAATACAGAGATACAAGCATGTAAACAGTCTTTACAGGAAGATAATGAGTTAAAAAATGGGCTACCTTTATATAGAAACACTCGTCTTTTATTTGTAAAACCTTCGGTAAAGAAATCATCAAATATTCAAATCCCCAATTCAAATAATATGAGCACAGATGGAATATGCGATCCAGTAGATCTTCAGTCAGAAATAACTAATATTCAAGCATATGTAAATCAACTTGAGTGTGAATTACAGAGGAAAGAGCGTTACTATAGAGAACGTTTGGATAAGATGGCCTCAGATATACCTGGTGCTATATGTATACAACCTGCTTCTTTAACAAAATAGCTCTTTCTAATTTTGTGTTGAGAATAGACTACTTGTACATTGTATTTTTTCTATGATATATTGAAATAAAACATTTACAGGTATTTTGGGGATTGACTTAATTATCTCTCACATGTGTTTATGTCAAGGTTTGCCATTATAATCAGTTACAGTCAGCATCCATCCATATGTTATACCACTTTTTAAACCATTGGTACTATTACATGAAAACTTCATGGGAATGTCCTTAGCATGCTTTCAACCCTTAGTTCCATGAGAACTTGAGTTAGAAGTATCTTCTTGTCAAACTTCTGTTTGAAATATTAAGCTATCATCTTCATAAAAACTGTTGAATGATTCTAGGTTGATTCAAAAACATTTTAATATTTTTAATTTGTTTAACAACAATTGATTTATCTCACTTTACCATATACATGTATGTATATTAATGTAAAACGTCTTGTCATTTTGTTAATTAATTCACACAAATGATTTCTAGGTAAATGTTGACAAAGTTTATTCAAGTGATGATGATCTGTCATAAGAACATAACAAATATGGTCAGGGTAATATCTTTCTATAAAGAGAAGATTTTTAGCATTGTCTTATAAAACTGCTTGTTATATCTTTTATAAATTCATCAAGTTATTCATAGATTACCATCAACCAAGATTATATGATTTTGATTCTTTAAAGACATGGCTTAAAGAAGGATGAGTTTACTTATTGTGTATAGTGTAAACTAAAAAAATTATTTTGTTAAAATTGTTTGTCAATTGTTGATACAAATTTGTAGAAATTATTTATAGATTTCAACCTACCAAGTTGTAGAATGTTGATTCTTTTTAGAAGATGAGATTACTTTTCCTTCATTGTATAAATAGAAACCTATAAAGAATATCTCTTATAAATTCTGACTCAAGGTATTGATTTTGGATAGTTAACCACAATTACATACCCAGAGACCTGTTAGGAGTTTTTTCAAACTTTTTTGTGAATATCATCAGCAGTTTTGGATATTCATCTTGCAAGTGAAACTTGAGTACGGAACTTCACTCACAAAGGGTTTAATTGGTTTTAATTTATTCAAACAACAAGATAGATAAATTCATGGGATTTTGACCAGATTACGATCACAATGTAAGTGAAACTTCAATTGAATATATGTCTGTACCCTCATTAGTATCTGCAAGACATCATTATACGCCCGTTTGAAAAACGGGACGTATTATGGGAACGCCCCTGGCGGGCGGGCGTCGTCCAATTTTGTCCAGAGCATATCTCCTACATGTATGGAGGGATTTTAATGAAACTTCATAGAAATGTTCACCACTATGAGGAGCAGTGTCACGCACATGAACCAGGTCTCTAGGTCAAAGGTCAAGGTCACACTTAGAGCTCATTGAAAAATGCTTGTCCGGAGCAAAACTTCCACATGTATAGAGCAGGGTTGCCAGCGGACTTGAAAAGTCAGGGGAATTGGGTATTTTTTCAAGGTCAGGGAATTTTGAAATTTGGTCAGTGAAAAATGAAAATCCTGAAAAGTCAGTGAAAAGTCAGGGAAAAATTATTTCAAAGGTCGAAAAATATACGCATTGAAGGTCTTTCTTGGCTATGGCAGTCTTTAGGCATTTAATATTTGACTTTATCACTCTCACAGTTAAGCATTAAATTCAAATAACAGTAAACTGTGATATTTAGAAGCATTATATGTTAACTTAGTGATTATAATACCCATTATTTTCCTTAGAACATCATTCAGCCTAAAGACTGAAAGGCTTTGCAACCCTTGCTATTTCTGTGCATGATCACTAGAAGTGCTTTTACTTACTAGCAATATCTAGTTAGTACATTGTATTCTGTATTGGTCTAGCTATTTCTGTGCATGATCACTAGAAGTGCTTTTACTTACTAGCAATATCTAGTTAGTACACTGTATTCTGTATTGGTCTAGCTATTTCTGTGCATGATCACTAGAAGTGCTTTTACTTACTAGCAATATCTAGTCAGTACACTGTATTCTGTATTGGTCTAGCTATTTATGTGCATGATCACTAGAAGTGCTTTTACTTACTAGCAATATCTACATGTAGTCAGTACACTGTATTCTGTATTGGTCTAGCTATTTATGTGCATGATCACTAGAAGGGCTTTTAATTACTAACAAAATTTAGTCAGTATGCATGTATACCAAACTACCATATTGGCATATAACCTGCTTTGCTTTTTGCTTCGACACTACGAAATTGTACAAGAGGATTTGTCTTGCAAACATGATGGAAACTGGTTAAATTATGCAATGCACTAACTTTTTTTCACACTAACTTACTTCACTTATTCAAAGTCTTTAATTTTATAGTGATTATTTCATGATATGCCAAAATGAGCCCTATGTTCTTGTTTTCACAATCAGTGGAGTTTATCATGATGCCTTATACAAGTAACTGTGTTAAATGTTTATTGTTATAGTTTAGAGATGTTTGAATTTTAAGTTTTGTCATACAAGTATTGCTCTTATAGTCTTGGTGTTTTATGTGTTACTACTAGGAAGGAAAGAGTGACTTATGTGATTTCTAATACAGATGCTTATATTATGATTCTTCTTATTTTCATGTCATATGTTTCACATGTTTCACTGACCAACAGTCACACTGTGTTTGAATAGAAATAGTTAAGAATACTAGAACAGAATGTTTGAATCATTACTTTGATGTAAATGTTTTATATTTTGGAAAATAAATACAAGTTTACATGCAAAAATATAATGGGAGGATTGGACGGCTATAGGGGAGGTCAGGAGGCCGTTTATGTGTTTGACGATTTTGGTCAGTGAAAAACATGAATTGGTCAGTGAAAAGTCAGGGAAAAGTCAGGGAATTTTATTTCACCAAAGTGCTGGCAACCCTGTAGAGGGATTTCAATATTACTTGGCACAAATGTTCACCATTGTGAGGCGGAGTGTCGCGCGCAAGATTCAGGTCCTTGCGGCCAAGGTCAGGGTCACACATAGAGGTCAAAGTTCAGATAAAAATATGAAGATGTGTATATGGACCATTTAGTCATCATTTATTGAGGGATTGTAACACAAATGGTCATTATCAAGAATATGGCTGTGATACATATAATTTAGGTCAATATATACAAGGTCAAGGTCACTAAAGATGATGAAATATCCAGATTTTGTCCGGAGCATATCTCCTACACGCATGGAGGGATTTTAATGAAATTTCATAGAAATGTTCACCATTATGAGAAGCCATGTCACGCACATGAACTAGGTCTCTAGGTCAAAGGTCAACACACTTAGAGCTCAGTGAAAAACGCTTGTCCGGAGCAAAACTTCCACATGCATAGAGGGATTTCAATATAACTTGGCACAAATGTTCACCATTGTGAGGCGGAGTGTCGCGCACAAAATTCAGGTCCCTGCAGCCAAGGTCAAGGTCACACATAGAGGTCAAAGTTTAGATAAAAATATGAAGATGTGTATAGGGACGATTTAATCATCATTTATTGAGGGATTGTAACACAAATGGTCATTATCATGACTACGGCTGTGACACATGTACTTTAGGTCAATATATGCAAGGTCAAGGTCACTAAAGATGGTGAAATATCCAGATTTTGTCTGGAGCATATCTCCTACATGTATGGAAGAATTTTTATAATACTTTATGGAAATGTTCACCACCATGATATGTATTGCTCCATGCATGATCCAGGTCTCCAGGTCAAGGGTCAAGGTCACACTTAGAGCTCATGAAAAACGCTTGTCCGGAGCAAAACTTCTACATTCATAGGGGGATTTCAATATAACTTGGCACAAATGTTCACCATTGTGAGGCTAAGTGTCGCACGCAAAATTCAGATCCCTGCGACCAAAGTCAAGGTTACACATAGAGGTCAAAGTTCAGATAAAAATTTGAAGATGTGTATAGGGACCATTTAGTCATCATTTATTGATGGATTGTAGCACAAATGGTAACTATCATGACTACAGGTGTGACACATTTAATTTAGGTTAATATTTGCAAGGTCAAGGTCACTGGAGATGATTAAATATCCAGATGTTGTTCGGAGCATATTTTTTACATGCATGGAGGAATTTTAATGTTACTTTATAGAATTTTTCACCACCATGAGACGTAGTGCCTTGCACATGAACCAAGTCTCTAGGTCAAAGGTGAAGGTCACAGTTAGAGCTCATAGAAAAACGCTTGTCTGGAGCAAAACTTCTACATGCATAGAGGGATTTCAATATAATTTGGCACAAATGTTCATCATTGTGAGGCTGAGTGCCGTGCATAAAATTCAGGTCCCTGCGACCAAGGTCAAGGTCACACATCCTGTGCATATCTTCCCTACTGATTTGTTTTAAGGTTCATTTAACAACACAGTGCCAAGAATAAAAACTTGCTTGCTAGATAACACTTATCTATAATGCCCCCATCTCCATCTAAAGCTTTCGTAAACGGGCGTATTTTGTGACTATGGCACCCTTGTTTTGAGTTAATTTCTACTGGTATATTAAAAAAAGGAGATACTGTAATTCAGTCAAAAACAATGTCAGCATTATAGTTATTGGATAGTGACATTCAGATATGATTCCAAAGACATGTGTTGCTTTATATTTGTTTGTTCGTTTTTTACACCAATATGAACACATTTCAGGTCATATCTAGAAAATAAGTCAATCACAAGTGACTGACTACTTACCCTACATGAATTTTGAATCAGCTTGGAGAGACTGATCAATGTACATATTGTCAAAGGTCAATTGTCTCATAGAAATGTTGCCTTACCTGGATATCAAACGTGGAACCCCTTGATTACGGACTATTGAGCCAAGCCGGCAAATGTTTCAAGTGCATACAATCGGTAATTGTGAAGATACCGATTTTGTGAGAAAAACTTTAATCAGTATCATGCCATTACACAAGCAAGACAGGTCCATTGAGTTGTTCACTGTCTTAAGATCCAGACTTCTTGCATGAATTTTGATTGAATATCTGACCATTCTGATTTTTTCTGTTAAAGGCACATTATACCTCAGAAATCCATATTTGTTTAATCTGTAGTGTATGTGTTCAGAGATGTTTTAATAATGGAGTGAGAGTATATAAGATGTTGAACAACTGAAGAAACGCAGCACTGAATGCGCAGTAATGACCATAAAGGTAGCAAAATGTAAACAAAGCAGTATTTTGACTTCCATACAAAATACTTATTCACTATAATTATAAGAGCAATGGAATCCAAATATAAGTTGCAAACGAGCTGTAACAAGATAACAAAAAAATAAAAAAGCTTTTCATAAATAAAATATTACAGCATTTTTGAGGCATAATGGGCCTGTAAGTTTTACAGACAAAAATCATTATCAACTGTCTTAACAGATGCTGAATGTATTCACATGAAATTTCACAGTCTTCAGTATTTTTGGTAACTATGAGAGACACATAACTGGAGCATAGATATGAATTGATATAGTTTGTGTAATGGAGTTTAAATGGAATCTACCTCTTTGTGAAAAGCTACAATAGTAACAATATCCATTCTTTTTTTTTCATAATCAAAAACTCAGAATAGTAAAGTGCAATGACAGCTCCCCGAAGGGGGGCATATAGTTATCGCACTGTCCTTCTGTCCAGAAATCTTATCCACAATTCATCTCCAAAACAGCTGAGGGGATTTCAGTGAAACCTCACAGGATTGTTTGTCACCATGCCTAGTTGTGCATAATATCTTGTTTTTCAGCTTGAATTTTTTTTTTTTTTTTCACAGATATGGTCCCTTTATGAAACGTTGGAGATAGAAAAGTTTGTGTAGTAGATAATTATTAATTAACTGTTTCCAGGTCCCTTTATGGTCTATTTTCCAGTAAAATAAGCTTGTCCATCTACATCTCCAAACCGCAGGAAGATTTCAGTGAAACTTCACAGGATTGTTTGTCACCATGCCTAGTTGTACAAAGTATCTTGATTTTCAGCTTGAATTTTATTTTTTCACAGATATGGTCCCTTTATGGTCTATTTTTGAGTAAAATAAGCTTGTCCATCTACATCTCCAAAACCGCAGGAAGATTTAGGTGAAACTTCACAGGATTGTTAGTCACCATGCCTAGTTGTGCAGTGTCCTGATTTTGCCCTCAATTAGTTTTTGGCACAGTTATGGTCTCTTAATGTTTTTCGAGTTATAAGCTTGTCCGCCTAAATGGTCAGTTTACAAGTAAAATAAGCTTGTCCACCCTTTATCTCCAATACCTGCGGAATGGGGAGATTTCATCGAAAGTTCACAGTTTTTGTTTGACACCATGTTGTGCAAAGTATCTTCATTTTCTCACAGTTATGAACCATAAATCGTAAATTTTCGGGTGAAGTTCATCTTCAAAGCCACTGGAGGGGGGGGGGGGGGGGGGGGAGATTTCCGTGAAATCAAGCCTAGTTGTGCACAGTATCTTGATTTTTCAGTAAATTAACTTTGTTCATCCTACATATCCAAATGTTTTGCAGACTTACCTGCCCTTGACAGTTATCAAACATGTCAAGCAAATAAGAGCTTTGCAAAGACAAGATAATATACGTCCAAATGTAAATTTGTTTGAGTAATCAAAAATTATCTTCCAATTAGAGTAGAAACCCTCTGACAATCTTTAGACATTGCTCCACAAAATTAGACTGAAATGTGTTTTCTAAAATAAGACTGGGGCAGGGCGAAACCTGTGTTCTGCACAATATCTCAGAAGTAATTTTTTTGCCAAAAGTTTTAATTTCTAGTAGTTCAAAAGATACAGGATGGACACAAGATTTGAAATTCACACAAAATGACACAGTGTGACCTTGGCCCATGGAAGGTCAACCTGGGCTCTGCAAATTGTCTCATTATGCTTAGTAGTTTAATTTACTTCCATCAGATACAGACTGGACACAAAAACTGCTAACAGATGGATAAATGACAGCCAGGTGGTTAACTATATTCTCATTTTTTGGGGGTAAATAAATTTTTTGGGGGTATTAATAAAGAAAAATCAGTCAAAAAGGGGTATAACTTTATAAAAATGAATTTTAGGATTAACATCCCTTTTGAAAGGTGTCAAAGTTTGATAGTGAACATGTTTACCAAGTTTTAAGTGAATAACTTGAGTTTCTGAGAAAACAGACCTTAACAAAAAGTGAACCAGGGCTTATATTTGAAAAAGGGGCTTAACTTAGGAAAAACAAAACTTTTAAGGGTCATCTGCCCTTTAGAAATGGCATCCTTTCATGATTTTAATAAACATGTATTATATTAAGTTGAATTGATTAGCTTTTTATAGTTTTAGAAAATGAACCTTTACAAAAAGGTATAACAACCACGACACAGGGGTCACAACAATAACTCCACTTTCTTTTCTTCAGAGTGGAGCTAAAAAAACAAGAGCTGTCCGTAAGACAGCGCGCTCGACTTTTTTATTGCTTGCCAATAAAAAAAGTTTTTGCAGTAAAAGGCAATACAAGAATCTCTGTATTTTTAAAGTGAACAATGGCCATGAGCATTAAGATATTTAGTGAAGAATTATTTTATTATGACATAATTTATGGTAAAGTGAACAAGTGGATAGGAATGAATTTTTTTAGATTTTTTAAGTTTTTTAGTGCTTGCCTATAATACAAAACATTGACAGTTAAGGGCCATAATTCAAATAAAATCTTTGACAGAATTACCTTCTCCTGGACATGTTTGGGAATCATGATTGTAAACAAGTATTCCAACTTTCAAATTAATATCTCAAACAGTTCAGTCAAAAAGTGGACTGGTACTAAAAACTTAACCAAGATTCTAAGTCGATAAAAGGCCTTAATTTTTAAAACAAATCCTTGACAGAGTTACCTTCTCTTGCGTACAGATGGGGGTAATGATGTGAAATAGCATTAAAAGTTTCAAAGCAATATCTCAAAGGGTTAAGGCAATAAGTGGATTTTACCCATATTCAATGTATTTTCTAAGTCAAAAAGGGGCATAATTCTGTCAAAAACCTTGACAGAGTTATGTCCTCTTGTCTGTTGATGAAGGTCGTGATGGTAAACAAGTATGGTCAGTTTCAAAGCAATACCTCCAATGGTTTTGAAATAAAGTGAGGTGGTACAAAAAACTTAACCAAGCTCAATACACTTTCTAAGTCAAAAAAGGGCCATAATTCTGTCAAAAACCTTGACAGAGTTATGTACTCTTGTCTGTAGATGGAGGTTATGATGGTGAACAAGTATGGTAAGTTTCAAAGCCATACTTGTAATACTTCTGAAATAAAGTGGGGTGGTACGAAAAACTTAACCAAGGTGTGACGCCGACGCCGACGCCGGGGCGAGTAGGATAGCTCCCCTTTTCATAGAAAAGTCGAGCTAAAAAAGGCCTCCAGATGTACCTTGATGAGTTTTACCTGCAACAACCATTTCAAGATCAAAAAGTCAAGGTCATTTAGGCATATAATAAAAACAAATGAATGGCTTTTAAATCAGTAACCTGGGACATTTTATGTGTAGTCAAGTCGCAACGAACTTTAACTTTTTTTTTTACATTTTGAGGTCACAAAAAGTTCAATGTGACATTTAATATTCAAATTATTATTTAATTCAGAAATTGTGTAATTTACTATCCAGCATCAGAGATGAAGACAACACCATATATGTCAGCATTGGAAAAGTGTAATGTGCTGCTCCTTAATAGCTCTTGTTCAAATGTCTGTGCATTTAGTATCGTTACAACTAGCAAATCCTGAAAACATTTTGGCAGGGGGATACTGAGCACACAAAAAAATATAAAAAAAATATTTGAACCAAAGAATACAGAAGACTAATATGTTTATTTCCTACATTTATTGAATTCTTTGTGTATATATCACTAAGCACCAGGTTAATTTCTTTTTCAAAATCTGTAAAAAGCAGTGATCTCTCAGAAAACAAAAACAAAAATTAACCAAACCATCTTGTTTTCATTAAAGCACAATTTGTGTATAGAAACAGTTGAAATAATTTTCTGTGATAGAATTAAATTCTTCAATTGCAGTGTGTGATTTTTTCAGAAATTAGCACTATTTATTTTTGTTATTTATACATTCACATATACAAATTAAAGCTAAAGTATTATATTCAATAAAAGCACAATAGTGTTACTTTCACACAGAGTAGGACTACACATAGGAAGTATATTTATGATCTGTTCTCCTGCAGATCTTTATTACAATTTATGAGGTCATTTTTTATCACCAACAACAACAAGGGCAGCATCTCTCTCTTCTTCAAGCTCCTTGGCAGTGATGTCCATTTTTTCTTGTGAAAAATCATCAATAGCCAGTCCGCCTTTAATGGACCATTTCCCATCCTTGATTTCTACAGGGAACGAGTACATAAGATTTGCTGGTACATTGTATGGATTATTGTCGGAAATAACAGCCATAGATGTCCACTCACCCTGAAAAGCAATTTAACTATCTTAAAATATATACTTCAATTTTTGCCTTTATATTTGCTCATGGCAATTGTACATTTTTTTAATTTATAAATTTTATTTATGAAAGGGAACAGTCAATTTCTATAAAGTATAAACTTTGTAAGATTTATGAAGTGCTAACATTTATTTATAAAAAAATTATTGTTTTAAAAAAAAAATCACAAATTTTGGCAAATAAATCATAAAATATATATAGATAAAAAATTGCAATATTCTTTATCGGATTTACATTTTCTTATGATTGACAATAAACTTACAGGCTTAGTGCCAAACCACCAATCTCTCATGTGGTCACAGGTGGCATTGGCTGCAGACATGGCACTGGAAAGCTTCCTGGCTGCTATGACAGCTGCTCCACGCTTCTGCACAGTCTATAAAAGTAAATAATTTGCTATATCAATATGCACTTCTATGCTATGAAACTGTGGTATGCACTGAAGTATTTTGTAAAGCAATGTTCTGCTTATTTAACAAGAGCTGTCGGTAGGACAGCAACGCTCGACTATTCTTAGTGCTTGATAGTAAAAAAAATGCTTGATACAGTTACCTCCTCCTGTTTACAGGTTGGGGTCATGATGGTAAACAAGTGTGCAAAGTTTCAAAGCCATATGTCTATGGACTTTGAAAATATTTGAACTATTACAAAAACTTTAACGTAAATTCTAAGTCGAAAAAGGGGCATAATTCTGTCAAAATGCTTGATAGAGTTACATTCTCCTGTCTACAGGTTGGGGTCATGATGGTGAACAAGTGTGCAAAGTTTCAAAGCCATATGTCTATGGACTTTGAAAATATTTGAACTATTACAAAAACTTTAACGTAAATTCTAAGTCGAAAAAGGGGCATAATTCTGTCAAAATGCTTAATAGAGTTACCTCCTCCTGTCTACAGGTTGGGGTCATGATGGTGAACAAGTGTGCAAAGTTTCAAAGCCATATGTCAATCGACTTTGAAAATATTTGAACTATTACAAAAACTTTAACGTAAATTCTAACTCGAAAAAGGGGCATAATTCTGTCAAAATGCTTGATAGAGTTACCTTCTCCTGTCTACAGGTTGGGTCATGATGTGAACAAGTGTGCAAAGTTTCAAAGCCATATGTCAATCGACTTTGAAAATATTTGAACTATTACAAAAACTTTAACGTAATTCTAACTCGAAAAAGGGGCATAATTCTGTCAAAATGCTTGATAGAGTACCTCCTCCTGTCTACAGGTTGGGGTCATGATGGTGAACAAGTGTGCAAAGTTTCAAAACCATATGTCAATGTACTTTGAAAATATTTGAACTATTACAAAAACTTTAACGTAAATTCTAAGTCGAAAAAGGGCATAATTCTGTCAAAATGCTTGATAGAGTTACCTTCTCCTGTCTACAGGTTGGGGTCATGATGGTGAACAAGTGTGCAAAGTTTCAAAGCCATATGTCAATGGACTTTGAAAATATTTGAACTATTACAAAAACTTTAACATAAGTGGTTACGCCGACGCCGACGCTCGGGTGACTGCAATAGCTCTACTTATTCTTATCGAATAGTCGAGCTAATAAAAGACTATTTTTTTTAACTGTTCACCTGGACACCCATAAAATAGGCTTAATTCATAGGCATGGGTCATATTATATTTGGCCAGAAAACCTTGAAGAATGTTTTACAACTTTTCTGCATATAAAATGGTATGTTGTAGCTGAAAACTTGAAAGACAGGTTAGTGTTTTGCAAATGTCAAAATTCATTTTTACATAAAACTGTTCAATAGGTTCAAATACATTTTTATGCAGTAATACCCAAACACCTAGCCATTATTGACCTTAGTGCCATTTCTGTAGCTATAAACTTCCATTGTATCTAGCCACAACTAGCTTTTAAAAAAGCAGAAAAACTGACTTGAAAAATTAAAACTTACAAACAGATCAGCAGAAAATAACAGATCTGGCATTTCTATCACAAATGGAAGGAGTAGTAAAAATTTGCCTATTTAGCCTGTTTTGGAGCCTTAGACTACTGTTCTTTGTTTCAGGTGCCATGCTTTATTAAATTATTGATGGAAAATGTCTGAAAATCGTCATTTCATTAAAGCTCAAAACTTAAAATGGCAATGGCAAAAGTGATTTATTCCTCATTTTGTTCACATTTCTTTTTTTTTTATAATTTTAAAAATATACAAGCAAAGTTGATGACATACAGAGATAAATTCGTTTTTCAGCCAATTGTTCATCTTGACAGCATCATGACTTGTACGCCTTGCCATTCAATTTATCACATGATAGCATGTTCTCATATCTGGGGTACTGCGTAGAATGATGGTTACCCAATTATAGCATTGAATATCACCCCAAACTCCTTCCACACTCTGCCACCTAAATGAAAATTTTCAAAAATGCAAATATCAATCTTAATTTAAATGAACCAAAATTTGTTAACAATTTTAGCAATTTAAAAAAAAATGTTTAAAAATTAATTAAAAATTTATAATGGGTTGGGGATTTTTCATTTTTCATTCTTTCTATAAGCAAAAAAAAATTAAAAACTTTTCTTACATGGGAATTTTAAAACCCAAAAATTTTTTTAGATTGTTCATCAATTTTGATATTCATTATAAAACATTCATCTTACAAATTTTACTTAATTCACTTTGAATTAAACTATATTTTAATTTCTGCTACTTACCTGTCTTTCTCTTTTGGCTCAAGCCTGGGTGATGGCCCCGCTTTCCTCTCTTAGGAATACTTGGGAGCCTTCGAGCACTTAACGCATTTTAGCAGGATTATCCCAACAATATACCTGTACAAACAAATTGAAAATTCATAAACAAATATGCCCCCTTCATGCATAATAATTTAAAACTGCTTAAAAATTTACTAAATAATAAAAAACAAAACATTTTATTCATTTATTTTCCTTTAAACTCAGCATTTAACTTGTTTTAACATGTGATAAAAAGAGATTGCAATGAACTATTAACACATACATAGATCACTAGTTGTATCAGATTAAACAAATTGGGCATATAAAATTGAAATTAAAGATACACATTACAATAATCAGTAGTTATTAAGTTAAGGAGCAATACTAAGTATTTTTACCTTGACCGTTTTCTTAGCAACCTTATTCAACGATTCTCCTTGACCTTTGAATATTTTTACGTTTGCTGCCAACAGATCTTTTCTTTCCATGCCTTCTTTTCTCGGCATTGCGCCAACAAGCATACATGCATCAGCATCCTTGAAAGCTGTATCATAATCATCGGTGGCAACAATTTCTGTAATAAACAAAAATTTCAGCTTCTTAATTATAAATGGTGTGATCAATATTGAAACCATTGATGGCTTTCTAAATGAATGTACTACTGAACAAATATGTCACATTGACACGATGCATTTCTTCCTATAAGCAGGTCTCTCTCCTCTCTCTCTCTGCTTTTTACTCATTTTTGTTCGTCAATTTCTTGCTGCACATTCATTCAATAGTGACAATACTGCTTCTTTCGGCCATCTTTATGCTTGAAAAGTGAAGTTTCTAAAACTATTCTTTTTTTGCAAACTTATGTCAGAAAAAGACTTGAATTTACATTTATCTTTTCTTTTAAAAAATACAAAAAAAAAATACTGCAATGTTTCAATTATAAACTAAATTACCTGTAACTACTGGAAAAGCACAATCTTTCAACTCCATGACAACTCCACCAAGAACACCCATCATAGGTGTAATATCCAACAGTACCAAGACAATTGGCTGAATTAAACACAGTAGTTAATTGTAACATATGATATTTTCTATATAAGTATTTTATATGCATATTTTCAACCTGTATAAAATTTCCAGCCTACCATAGAATTGCCCCAACAAGCCCTACATTTTTATTTTAGATTAATTTTAAATCCCTAAAACATTTAATTTTCCCAAATTTCAAAAAACTGAGCTAATCCGTTAACTTACATAAATTTAGCAGTGTAAGGGTTATATGACAGTACATATTTGGAGTCAAGGTTATGAATTTCTTTTTAAATGATTTCAACAATGTGTGTTTTACACAGGAAATTATCTTTACAGGGATAAATATTCAAATAGGCAGTAGTTAGGTACTACCTGAATAAAAGGGAAACTAACAGATCAATTGTTTTAACAAACACTCTGCATCTACATGAAATGATGTATGCATAAAAATTATCATAAAACCTTTCTTGGCAGACAGAGAACAGGTATACCTGTTTCACCGACAGTACACTATTTTAAGATAGGACAGTTAACCCATTTAAATGCTGAAGTTTTGTCCCATTTTTTGTCCCTTTTTTTCCCCGAACACATGTACTTGTTATAAGGCAAATATATTCTTTAAAATTTCAACTTAGTAGATTTTTTTCCATTAAAAGTTTGCATATTCCATAAGGCATACTTATGTTTTTATTAATTTCTACGAGTTTTCCTTGCATTTTTTTTAAAAAAAACCTCTAGTTTTAAATAGGAAATCACAAGAACACTTTTAAACCCATCTTTTCCCCAAAAAATCTCCTTTCCAAGAATTTCAGCAGGGGGGAAAGGGAACCCCAGCCTTCCCCTTTCCCAAAAACTCTGATTCCCCAGCTGAAAATAACAGAAATTTAAAAAGTATTTTTTTGTATAACATAAAAAACAGCAATGTGAAAACCACCTGGGATTTTCTAAAATTGTTCCTCTGGGCATGTTATTAAACCAAAAAAACAATTGTTTCAAATTAAAAAAAAATTAGGGCCATTTTTTTAACAAAAGGGGAAGGGGCCAAATTTAACAAAATCCATTCTTGAGATTTTGTCTCGGAAATACCTCAAAATATATTTCAAAGAATGTGTAAATTTAAAAACAAATATCTTAGTTTGATGGGGCATAAAATTTCAAAAGTGCAGCAAAAACAATAATCTAAGGCCATTTTTTTATATTTTGGTTTACTGATTTTTTCCAAAACTAGAACTCCTCGAGTCGGATGTGTAGCCTTGTGAACAATATAGTTTAGGAGAAATGGCCAGGACAAAAATTAAATATGAAAATCAACAAAGGGCAATAACTCAAAAAATAAGAAATGCAGAGCAGCAGTTTCTGTGCACTGCACTTCTTATCAATAAGATCTATCATCCCATTAAGTTTCAAGTCTATAGCTTTTATAATTTATGAGAAATGGCCTGGACAAAAATAAAGTATGAAAATTAACAAAGGGCAATAACTCAAAAAATAAGAAATGCAGAGTACCAGTTCTTGGGCACTGCACTTCTTCTTAATGAGATCTATCATCCTATGAAGTTTCATGTCCATAGCTTTTATACTTTAGGAGAAATGGCCTGGACAAAAATAAAGTATGAAAATTAACAAAGGGCAATAACTCAAAAAATAAGAAGACTGTGCAGAGTACCGGTTCTTGTGCACTGCACTTCGGGTCATTATAAGAAGCATGCATACCAAGTTTGAAGTCAATCCGACTTATAATGACTGACTTATGCTCCGGACAAGCTTAAGGGGACGCTGACACCGACAACGACGTCGACACCGCAGACAAAAGTAACCCCTATATGTCGCCTCTCAAAAGGCGACACTAAAAAGTTAGGGTTGGCAGCAAGAAAAAAAAAAAAAAAAAGATTTTCATATCTTTATGCCTTGAAGGTAAGATATTTTGTAAGCATATCTTTTTTTCTGGACTGTGATAAAATGTGGTGCATACATATACATAGTACATGTACTTACTAGAGAAATGAAATTAAATACATCGCAGATTGTCTATTCCAAAGATTGTCTAAATACACACAAAAAACTATTGCTCACATTGCCATTGTTTAAAAACACACATGAAATCTACACACGATGACTTACAAAGAAATACATCAAAGGGTATAAGAAATAATTGAGTTGGTTTGTAAAACTGAAATTCTAAGATGAAAAGGGGGCATAATTTTGTCAAATCCATATAAGAGTTATGTCCTCTTTCCTGAAAGTGCAAGTAATTGGGTGGTACGAAAAACTTTACCAAAAATGTAATACCAACACCCTGGTTAATAGGATAGCTCTCCCTATCATAAAAATATAATAGTCAAGCTAAAAATTACAAAGGGCAGCAACACCATACTTGTGCAAAAGAGAGTTGTGGTTTTCTGGCACTTCACTCATCCCAAAGGAGATCTATCAAGTTATCAACCTTTGTTTTATGTTGAAACCTCCAATATTTTAGTAATGCCATCAACACACAAAAACCCAATAAAGGGAGACACTCAATTTGATTCAAGTCACAGGTTATCAGCGTGAAACCAAGCCCCATCCCCAAAGAATCCACCCCTCGGGACCCTTTACTAACAACATATTGTTCAACCCCCAAAAAACACAAAGATAACATTCAAAATACAAGTCAATAGAAAATCAAACAGTTTATCTTAAACAGTCATCAAATTTAGCACTGGCCTGATGGCCCATGGCCAGCAGACTTCCCAAAATATGTCGGACCGACGGACATGTCTGATAAATTTTGATTAGGTCCGACAATTTTTTATTCCAGATCGGTCTGACTGTCCGGCATTTATCCAAGTCGCATGTATACAAAATGGCGTCGCTTAAGGTGCCAATCCTGGGAAAAAACGAAAATCTACTTCAGAGGAGCACGCAGAACAGCATTAAAAGGATGTAAAGAATAGACCTGAGACAAAATTTAATGAAAAATGGAAGCAGGACCTAAATTGTTGGGGTATGACAGGGAGGAGATGAAAATGCGCTTAAGAACTATGCCGATTTTTACGGCGAAAAATTAAAACTGAAAAGTGTCTTAGAAATACAAACACAAGTTTACCTTTGATTTTGATTAATTTTATTCAGTCCGACAGATTTCGTTTCGGTACGACAGATTTTCATGGTTTGTCAGACCGAATGTCTGACACTTTTTTTTAACTTTCGGGAAGTCTGGGCCAGTGAAAATTAGTTCGGGAAAGTGTAAATTTTAAGAAAATTTAGTTAAATATATAGTAGAATAAATTCAAAACTTGAATTTGGGCCAGTAAATTCAAAATCTTAAATTCAATGACTACTTAAAAGAATATTTATTTTTTACTTTTTAAGGATTCAACTAGAAAGTGAATATGAAAAATATCTAAATTAAAACAAAATTAAGCCCATTTAGAGTGAAGAGGGAAATATTTACAGCATACAGCAATATCCATTCCCTAACATTCATAACTACATGTATGAAAAGTTGTTTATTACATTGGTTGAATATGAAAGGTCAGGGTCAAGGGCATGTATATGTTATTGTACTCTCTGCAATGACCTTCCCCAATGAAGATTATCTTTTCATGTTTTGCAAGTAGTAATTAAAATGTCATGGGAAGTTATTCAAGATGCCAAGTTTAAAAAAACATAAACAATACTCGTACAATTATATTATCCTCATTCTTAATCAATTTTAATTTTTTATTTTAATTTATAATTTGATTTTAGCTATTTTATATAGATGAATCTTTAGGAAAATGATTGAGTCACATTGCCATTTGGAAATTAGTACCTAGTGCAATGCATGAGTATATTAACAATGAGTTTGAAAAATATTATAATTAAGGCATAAATGCTGATTATAAATTTTGTTTGTGTCAAGTAACCTTTGCACACATCATGAAATTGGTGTCTCACCAAACAAAATCTACGAGCATTTAACAATACAATGACATTCACATAATTCGAAAATTACACATAAACGGTATAACATAAAGAAATAATAATAATTTGTTTGTCTTCAGTTTAAAACAGATTGACGTTTGTTTTTCACAAAGGTCAAGAACGGTAACTGCAGATATGACAACGTTTAGTTCTTTGAAGGTCGACTATAGCTTATTTTATTCACATTTTAGTTTGATATCATTGTTATACATCAATTTGCTGGAAAATAAACAATTTACATTTAAACAGTTTCACTTACTCATGATGCTGATAAATAATAAGCTTACCATTTTCAGTAAAAAATAGTTTTCTTCCTGCAGTTTCTTTTTCCAAGGCGACTCACCGGCAAACCAACCTTGACCTTTTGAAGAACTGGTTATGAAAGACACGAATAATAATTTGTACCGGAAAGCTGGTCATCTGGGGGAAAGTAAATGTAATATATCGGTCGATCAGGACTTCTAAACACCACAAAGTCAATTAAAGTGTACAGCAACAATGTAAAATTATATAATATATCAATAATGATCTAAACCATTAAAAAGCAGATATTTTGACCAAAAAAACAACAACAACAGTGAACAATGCAAGAAGCGTGGTGCATGTTTTTGTAGATTGGGTCAGCATATGTACATGTGAACAGGGTGACCTTTCCATTAATTGTCTTAGAATATTTTTTGAAATGTGAAGGTGTTCTTTCCCTGACTTTCTTATTATTTTTATGGTAGATACATATTGAATATTTAACCATGCTACTTCATATCCTGTTCATCTATCATTTAAGTCTTCTACATTTTAGTTGTAGCATTATGAAAATCTGGAAACAAAATGATCCGTCGGAAGCATTAATCACAACAAAATAACATGAAAATTGCAGACTCGGTAAAAACAGGGATTTTCCACCATTAAATTTATTTTATATATTTATGAGGACAGTACATTTAAAATGTATTCAAGGCTTACATATACAACAGCTATCTGAAAGGAAAAAAAAATGAACTTAAATACAATAAACATTTAGAAGATATTTTGAAAAAGAAGCGAAACCTGTTCTTTAAAAATATACATCTGATCAGGTGCTG